CACAAATGGGGAATGAAGTTGGCAGTGGGGTTTTTCACCTCGAGGGAGCTGCCTTTAACAGGAGGAAACCAGATGTCCTCAGGTACACCGGCCACGCAAAGAAAAGCTGTGTGCATATGGATACACGCAGGCACACACACTTTGTGTACAAGGCACAACAGGTTATTACGGCCAAAAGCCTCACAGGGAAACACCTTTCATTATACAGGCAAGGCTGAGAAAAACGACGACGCCGTATGTAATTTGTCTTACTTAACCCCAGCAACATATGCCATAAAAAAAGCAAGCCTGTTGGGTAAGATGAAAACAGTGTCTTTGCACAGACCATTCGTTATGTGCAAATACGTTTAGGAAGTATTTGCTCCAGCAAACGCCAGACTCTGGAGAGGGCTGCAAGCCTGCAGAGCCAGGGGCTCCTCATCACCTGCCTCTTCCAGGCTCCGCTGGGGCTCCCACTAACCCAAGGATGGGAGTCCCTCCTGCAGACGCCCCCAGCCTGCTTCTCCTGTGGGCCTTGTGTCGCACACCCAGGGCACGGGGGCTGCTACACAGCCCCGTCTCTTCCAGGTGCCCACCCACAACTCATGGGGCAGAGATCCGGGTACAGGCACATTGCCTGTGAATTCACGGGGTCGATCCCCCCAGGTGCCCCAGCGGTGGAAATGACATTTCTTTTGTCTCTTGTGAAGATGGGAAGGGGGGAAAAATAGCCCACTGGCTTTTGTCCTAAATTCAGACCAGCTGCTTACTAGTATTGTCCCCCAGTATTGTCTCGGTTTTTACAGTTTTGACCCCCACAAAGCACACTCCTGGGCCCCCAGCTTCCAATTCTCATATGTCAGTGACATGAATATCTCTGCTTCCTCTGGAACAGACCACAGATTCTGTCATCTTTCATCTGAGAAGTGAAACCCCGAAAAGCTGAGTTTACTGGAGGGACTTTACAGCCGGAGTCTCCTCCAGTCCCGCGGCAGGATCGGAGCTCCCAGACCTGCTCACACATCAAGGGGCTTTGAAAGCTCAAAGTGCTTAACTGGAAGGGACACAAAGCTCTCCAAGCTCATTTTGCACGCAATTAAGCTGTTGCTTTGCTCTCCCTCCCCCTGGCAGACAAGTGCTAGATCAGGGAAGGTATGAGAGACTCCAGCCATTGACAGGTCGGGGGCAGCCCCCCCTCTCCTCTATTCTCTTTTTTTTGTTACTGAAGCCATCCATCTGCCAAATGTCACTAGCTGATAAGAACAGCCCGTTTTTAAATCCCCATTTGTAAATAGATGTTGGCTGACATAATTAATGTCTACCATACAACACAATTTGAATTACAAAGTAAAGGCAATTTAAAAATCAGCCTCCACGTGATTACAATTGATACTCAGTCTATAAATTCCATAGCCCCGGGAATTATTTAAATTTCTGAAAATGAATGAAAATCAGTACAAGATGTCTTTCAGGAAAGCGAGACCAGAAGTGGAGCATCTGAGATAAACCAAATAGTCTCTTGAGATAAACAGTCTTTGGTGCAGTAATACCTATGGCTCCAGGCCACCATGGGTCTGTAATGTCTGCTACAGCGTCAGGGCTGTTATCAGTGATGCCACCGCCACCTACTCAGAATAAATCCCCTTAACTGATAAGCACATTATGTTGAGGACCCCCGCTTGTCACTTCCATCTAACTGGGTGGTTTACAGGACGCGGTGGCACTGAATTGCTCTGCTCTAAGCCACCAACACCGCTCGCCTGCTGGGATCAAGCCTGCAGTGCACAAGCATGGGAAGGTCGGAGGAAGAAGTGTGATAACGTGTTAGGCAAAATACGGGCTACGGCACTTGGAAATGTTTACCCCAGATTCACTTTTTCTGCTAACTAGAAATAACGAATTTAAACAGACAGCAAACATCTCTAATGAGCAAGCTGTGGCATTAGGCTGCAGAGAAAGACCAGCAACACAGGAGTCATTTAAAGCGTGTATACATTGCGCCTCTCACGCCAAGATCAACAGCTCTGTTACTTCCCAAAGATACCCGTGCAGAGGCTCAGGAGCAGTGTGGCACAGCCGGGGGCTCTGCTGCATCTGGATCCTGCGCAGGGCAGAACAGGACTCACTGCCAAGCTTTGCCTCTTTTTCCTGTCTTTACACTATCACTTGCGGCTTTAAGTGAATTTCATTATTTCCCTACTAGTCCTTCCTTTGCAAAATCAGGAGAAATAATTTGAGGACATCTAGATTTACTAGAAAAACAAATCTCTTTAGAAATAAATAGTACCACAAAGGAGCAATGAAATCTGCTTTCAAGGAAGCAAATGTGTTACTGCAAATCACAGGCTGGCAGTTAAGTTCTGCATAAATACAGCAGATGCGTGGTAGTGATATCCATGTGATAAATTACATTTATCACGCACCTTTGACCATCTCACCTGCACTCGGCTCCCCCAGTGAAGAAATGTTAACATTCCCGATCTTTCATCAGTTTCAAACAGCTGCCATTAAAAAAACCACAAAAACCTGCAAACCCACAACAAAGAATTCCACATCTTCCCAGAGATAACCTTATCTTTCTCTTTTGAAATGTGAGGTTTTCCCTAAATTATGTTGGCACAAAATCTAGAACTAGGGGCAGGATGTTCAATCAGGCTTAAGAGCATATCATTAAAGTTACCTAGCAGGGGCAGAAATGGAAGCGTCACTGGGAATCACCGTAAGAGCTGTAGAAAATGTGTATTATAAGAAATAAAAGCAAGGATTTGCATCACTGGAAATAGAAGGGTCCCAGATTTCTATCTGCAAATATTTGTTTCTTGTGCAAGAAACTGTCAGGATATTAACATCTGAATTTAAGTCATAAATAAAATGAAGTTATACATAAAACAAAGACAAATAAAACCAAGGCTGCTCCAATCTTAGACACTTTTGTTATTCTCTCTGGAATCCAGACTAGGAATTATCTCCAGCACTCTCAGACGACCAAGAGCATCCCGCAGCACTTGCTGTGAACCACGCCAGGGATGCTGCTGCATCCTGACGCTACAGCAAAGCGCAGACACGGCTGTCCCAGGGCACCGCGCGGGACCGCGTACCGCTTGGTTACCCCCTCAACCAGCAACGAAAGGTCTACACTTCGATGTTGTTGTCCCTACAACCAGCAACAGGCACAACTATGTGGCTGCTGTGAGAAAATTACAAGGAGAGAAAATCCACAGGAAAATGTAAACTCACAAAAACACCAGTTAAGTGGTGAGAACCTTCCTTCTCATTAGTTTTCTAACTCCCTGCCTTCACATTCCTCTTTGCTATTGAGTGGAATTACTATTATTATTTTTTTAAACGAGGTGCAAATGCATTTTCACACCTCGACCTAAAACTAGGTTAAGTCTCCAAGCTAATTACACATTATTAATGTGTCCAACAACTGCGGGCAGGCTGGTTAGAGAAGGGATGCAGGTCTGCATTTTGGGGAGTTAAGCACACGGATGCACGCTTGCCCTCTGCATAGGTCTGATGCTGCCAGTTGCTGAACTCTCTTCTCGTTTGCAATAGTAGCATGTTTAACACCAAAAGTTGTCGTCTACAGTGTAATCTTTTTCTTCTATTTCTCTTTCTTTTTAAAGCTGTTTGTGTTTTTTTTGTTGTGGGGTTTGTTTTTTTTTGGGCCTTTTTTTTAACTCTGAAATGCACTACAATATTACATCCAGGTCACCATTTTCAGGACTCTCCCTAGGCTGGACTTCGCATGAGAGTCATCTTCCAGCAACCGTTCTGAGAAGTGATGCCAAAACCAACGCAGAAATCTCTACACAACCTGAGATCCAAGGTCTGAGCAACTGCAGCCAGAGTGACACAGCCCTTAAAAATACACATTTCGTGTCTTTTAATAATTTTCTTTTTTTCAGCAATACAGAGCTTCTAATGGTGTCTGTCAAGCACTCCTTAACATGAGACACTATACATACGCATACGTATCATTTGTAGGTCTAAATATTAAAAAAGAACTTTCAAAGAAGAACATATTTGTATAGAAGTAGCACACATGATTTAAAAAGTCCTCCAAGACTCCTCATCCCAGCTCTGGATTGGATCTGTATCAGAATACGCACACACAAAGCCAATTCAGCCTGACTTTTATAGGAAGCGCACAGCATAAATGAAGAATGGCGTGCTATGGATTTTGCACAGATTCTGATAATTTCTGGTTAAAAGCCTTGTTGTCGAAAGTATTATTCAAGCCTTAAATATGCCACACTCTGGGATGAGTGTGCGCTAAAAAAATTCTTAACAGACCTGTTAATTGAACTGCACGAGTTTCTTCAGAATGTAGCTATGTGGAGCCACTTTGATTCTTAAGTTTCTTGCTGGCAGGAAAAACAAGCCCTAATTGTGTCAGAGTTTAGCTGCTGAAGAGATCAGTGTTTTATGAGGGATGTAAAAATGGTTCACAGTTACCAAAATAGAAATCTTCGCTTGCTTTTCAAGGAGTGGGGAAGGAACATTTAAAACTTTGCGCTTAGAAGTGGGCAATTAAGAAACACGCCAATAAATTAATCTTCCTAGGATATCTTCTGGCTTGTGGAAAGACAGTAATAAAAACATCTGGGAATTTTCCAGCTGAAAGCTCCTGACTTGTAAGTCAGATCTTACTGGGAATGGTTTGAATCCTGAAATTACATAATATTTTCTTCCGTGTGAACCCCAAAGACACTCTTTGCCTGCTAATTTCTTTTTAGATGGTCTAAACACACATTCAGTAGGACATGTTTTTTTCCCCAGCTCATGTTCACCCCTAAAATGCTCCTGAAAGGAGAAGCATACAATCACACCTACTCACTCAGTCCTCATGGGACCATGCCGTAACAGACTTTGGCATTGCAAAACGCGGAATATACCTGCTTTTGAAGCAGCATCAGGTCAACAAACATAAAGACCGAGGTTTACTGCCTTTTGAGTCAGTGTTTTTAGCTATCCCGAAGGCAATGCTCACCCAGAGGCAAGGCTTTTATACTCACCAGCATCGAGACTCCCAGTAGCCGCAGTCCAGCCCATGACGGGGGGAATGGCCCCGACGACAGCTCCCACCCACGTGTTGGCAATGCTCATTCTCTTCATGGGTGTGTAGCAACACGTGTAGAGGAAGATGTTGAAGGCTCCCAGGGCGCCGGTGAGGGGGTTGACCCCCAGTGTCAGCAGGGCGATGCCTGGGACTCCACAGGAGGCAGCAAAGCAGAGGGCGAGCAGGGGGCTGTGGGGACAGACAGGAGGCACCCGCTGAGCCAGAGAGTTCCTCCTAAAATACGACAACTGCCCCTCTCCTTTTGCTCCTTCCCAAAAATTTAGATTGGAATTTTGTTATTTTTTTACTTGCCCAGCCCAAGTTTTCCCATTTGACCCCCCTTATCCTAAGGCAAGTCTAAAAAGTTAAGACAGTCCTGCCGCAGGTTTGCAATGGTACGTGACTCTTATTCTTGTCATCGCTGAGTTCACCAAATAACTTCAACCTGTGCAGGTAAATAGCCCTTATGGAGAACTGCTGCTTCCAGCAGATCTTCCTCATTCATTTTAATCTTGGTAAATTTTGACCTCTGGAAAAAGCACTCGGGGTTTAGACTGAATGAGAATGGTTGTACCTTGACAGATTTTTAATTGATTGCAATTATCCAAAGGATCCTTTGACTGAAATGCAACAGGGTTAGACATAAAATGAGGAAGCATTTATGAGAAGAAGAGTACATTCAGTCATGTTTGAAACTACATCACCAGAATAAAGTATTTTCTGCCTTTACTGAAAAAAGGCTGAATATTCTACATTTCCATTTAGCTTAGGCACTGTGCTACGCAGAGGCAGCACACCAAAGCAACTCTGGCAACAGAACCAAAATTAAAATTTATTATCTTCTAAGTGTGACTGGAATTAACTGAAGGTATTTTAGGTTTGGGCGAAAGCAGCAAACAACAAAAATGCAAATTGTTTCTGTTGATTTCTACTGCACATCAGCTCAGAGCTCAGGGAAATCCCTGTAAGAAAAAGGTTGAACCTATGTAAACTTCCGCTAATAAGTTCCACAATAAACACCCAAATACAATGAACAAGGATTTTTTAATTGGCTACCAAAACCACTATTCACAGGCAATACTGTGCTACAACCCTAAGGAATTTTTATTTGTGTTCCCTTGCACCAGATCAACACAGAATCCCAGAATCATTTGGTTGGAAATGACCTTTAAGATTGTCAAGTCCAACCATAACCTATCCACTACCAAACCATGTCCCTGAGCACCTCATTTCCTTGTCTTTTAAACACCTCCAGGGATGGTGACTCCACGACTTCCCTGGGCAGCCCCTTCCAGGGCCTGGCAACCTTCTCAGTAAAGAAATTTGTCCTAATACCCAATCCAACCCTCCCCTAATGTGTGCCGCTGGTGGAGATCTCTTCCCACGTGCTTGCATATGATAGAGAGAACGAGACGCCACTAAGAAATAATATGGTGTGGGAGACCTCTGGAAGGGAGGAAAATGCCATTAACTGAGTTGTATTTAATAACCCATGTGGCTGAACACACACTTGTAGTCATCCATATAAGAGCAGAAAATACGTGTGCGTGCAACAAATGTCTCTGTGTGAAGTTCAGCTTTACACGTTTTGTCTAATTGAAAACTATGCAGCCTTTGTATTCTACAATCGCTCTGCCCTCTGGCCAAATCCTTAACCCTAAAGTACGTGTTGCAAGCACTGCTCCAACCCTCGTAAGAAAAATTTGCTGTTGGGGATGAATTTATGGGAGTTTTATCAGCAAAAAAATCCCACCATTCAAACTTTGATTTTTAAGACCAATATGGTATGGAGATCCTAAACAACTGGAAGAAGTAAAATAAGCAAATCTCACACTAAAGATCTGCCTTCAATTTAAATTAAATCGACTAAGTCATTTTATCCAGCTTTTCAAAACCATCAACAGATTTTAGGTTACAGAGCGTGCACAGAGCAGATTTACACTCTGGCATTACCAGTCTTGGTGTTACTAATATGTCAGGAATAGAGGCAGGGTAAATCGTTGCCATCCTTTGACAATGAGATGTATAAAATTTGAGACAGTTCTCAGGAGGCGCGCTGCGAAAGGAGCCATACGGTGCACTGCCCTCTGGATTTGCAGCTAGCGGTGCTCTTTTGCAGCGAGGCAGCAAACACAATCTGTACCACAAACAGTCTCAACGCCGACTACAAACGCCACACTTTGTAGATGTTGGCCCTTTGCAGAGAAAGCCTGAATGGGTTAGGTTAAACAAATCTATCTTGACTGATTCCTGAATAAAATACGGTCAGCCGGTAAACACCAGATTGACACAATACACACTCTTGAGGCAACAAAAGACCAGCGTGACCCTGCGAGGCCGGGCTACTCACATTGGCTCCCGCAGGGCTCACAGACATAAATAAGGACGCAGTTTCACCTAATGCAGTGAGCGCTCTTCTCACTAATCAAGAGTGAAGACTCATCTACACGTCTCCAATTCAAACGAAGGCTACACACCATGAGCTGGTCACAGAGCAGCAAACACCAGCCCTTCGAGCCTCTTATGGGAGGGTGAAGGCTGGGAGCACAAAGCACTCCACGGCTGAACCCAGCAACACGTCTCTCCCACATCACTTCCCTGCAGCAGCAATGGCCCTGCGGTGCCAGCCCCGATACCGGCTGTGTCCTGCCTTCTCATCCAGCTGATGGACCCAAAAAGCACCTTTAAAAAAATGAGTTCTTATCAAAAGGGAAGGGTGAAGTTACTCGAGACCTTCAAAAAAGTTGTTCTGTTCCTCACGGATGAAAACACATTTTTGTTTCTGAGTTTCTTCCTTTTTGCCTTTTTAAAAGGAAGTTCCTGGAGGAGGTTTGATTACTGTCTGTAATTAGTGTCCCAATGATCTCAGGAGAGGGCATCATGTCACTGATGGCTGTTCTTCATAAACAGTTGAACTCTATTACTTTTAGACATCCTGTGAGTATCACATTTTCTACTTGTGCCCAGTGTTTCCTTAACAATCAAGGAACTGTAAAATCCTTCGAGAAGAGTGAGTAATTGCCTGACTTAGAGGTGCCTGCCCCTAAAACTCCAACTGAGATCAGAAACTCAAACTGTGATCTGATGGTTCAGCTTTGTTATTTCTGCCCTTTACAATACTATTTGGCATTACAAAGACACTGCAATCAGAACTTAGGGCCTTGCTTTCTTGGTGAGGCATGAGGAAGAGGAGAATTAACTCATTCTCACATAAACATGTCATGTTTATAAGGCCTAGGAGAAGTACAAGCAGCTCCTTATTGGGAAAGAGAGAATATCTGAGGAAAAGGTAGAGAGATTTCAGTTACTAGTGCAGTCTTTTCTGCTCCAGTGACTTTAAGGATTTTAAGAAAAAAAAAAACTGACCCTAGGTTTAAATCACAGCAGTTTGAGGGCTATTCTGATTTCCACAGTTTATGGTCTACCTGGGACCCTTATACATGTGCATGCTCACATTAGGTCTGTCAAAACTTAGGCATGTGCTGTGAAGCTCACTGATTTGATGCATGCTCCTTTGCTGGGCTGCCTGTTTCTCACCGAGGGAGCACCAGAGATTAGGACCATATTCTGGAGCAGGAGAAAGGCCACGATGCTGAGTTGTCACTGGATTTGCCCCATCACCTCATGCAGTTCCTCCCACTACAGCCTTATGCTGTCGTGCAGTCCAGCGCTCATCACAGGAGCATCAGTCTTGGATGCTGGGAAATTCTCATGTGGTGGCCAAAAGTGGCTGCGGGGTCTCCACTGGTTTCCTCCACCATTAAACCACCCTATGCAGTAAGTGCAGGCTGGTGGCAGACGCTGGTACATAAGCCTCATTTCTCTTGGGCGTTCACTTATGCTAAGGGAATTGGTCCCATGGGAAAAAAAGGCAATCTTCCCTTGGAAAACTGGCCAAGGAGCTAGCTCAGAAAGCAAACACATTGAGTAAGAAACTAGGTTTTATGATGGATTCTTGGGAGGAGTTGGTTTCAGTTATTTGGCTGATTAAAATCAGACTCCGGAAAAATACTACAAGTGCCAAATGAGTTCTCTTCAAATTACAACTCTAAAATACCCAGTATGTCACCACATAGGACACCTCCTTAAGGAAAACCAAAAACTGGTCTTTCTTCCTTGTCCCTCTTCTCTGCCTTATTGAGAATGCACATGCCAGAGTCTACTTAATAATACTGCTAAAAGACATTCCCATTCAACTGAAAGCTTTGGAGAGAACTTCAAGCTTGAATAGTGAATAACGAAAGCTTTCCTGCTCCAAAGACAACGTGCTGACATTCTCCCACGGAGCTCACCCAAGACAGACCCTCCCCAGTCACACTCCACTGAGAGCATCCAAGAGGAGGAGGAGGAGGAGGAGAAGGAGCAGGAAAACAGACCCAGGTTTCTCCTCATTCAACGCAAGGTTTTGCTGACACAGAGGTATCTGGGGAGATGCTGTCAGTCAGGCTGGGGAGGATTGCTCAAGGACAGCCCGGAGCTGCCGGGGGAACGGGGAGCAGGCAGGAGGAATCCCATGTGGGTGACGTTCAGGCATCCCTTGCACACACGACCGCGAGGCATCCGCATGAACCCTCGCCCATCACATCATTCACTGCAACTTGGGACAACGCGGCAGCCTATTTTAATTCATGTGCAATAGCATATTCTCCACATCTAGCTGCCACTTACAGATGAGCTGGTATAGTGATCTTACATGTGCATGAAATATATTTATTTAATAGGCACCAGAGTCATGGATAATAGTACTTATTGACTCACAGCGTCACTTGAAAAAAATGAGAGGGGAAAACAAATTAAAGCATTTGCCCATCTATAAAATTAATGTACTATTTTACCTATTTCACAGTAGCATTAGCAAGCTTAATGTCCATAAAGATCAATAGCATCTCCACTACACAAGCTTTTCTACGCTGTCTTTGGCAAATCATTTTGTGCAGATGACTGTAAAAGTACAGTAGAATGGCAATTTAAAAAAAAGGGGAAAAGTTCAAAGAAAATTTTGTTTGGAAAAAGCAATCAAGAAGCTAGACAAAATTCCCTCTTAAATATTCTATCAATATTTAGAAATATGGAAAATTCCTGTATCAGCATCTATCTCTGTGAGATGCGTATCAGCATCAGCCTATCTCTGTGAACGTATTGACGCTCACATAGACACAAAGCCCACAGGAATCCTGAAGAGGTGCACT